CTCATCTGCTCCCAAGCCCAAGGGGTTCCCCCGGGGGTCCCTTTTACCCCCCTTCCCATTCCTGTTTGTCTCCATCCCCCCACTCTGCCATGGGGCCCCCTTCAGGTCTCTTCACACTGCTTGTTTTTTAAATTTTTTTTACATAGGGTGCTGGCAGTTTAAGGGGCCCCTTCCCAAAAGCGGGCTGCCAGGCCCCTAATCTGCCCTTTGGGCCCCTATATACCCGCCTCCCATGATGTTTCCCAAAAAGCCCAGATCTCTCGGGGGTTTCCCCCTTCCCGGCCTCCCTTTGGCTGCTGTCTCCATCGCCACACCTGGCCAGTGCCACTTTCGGGTCTCTTCACCATCCCTTTTTTTTAAATTTTTTGACAAAGGGCTGGCAGTTTTAGGGGCCCCCCCTACTGCTGCCGGGCCCCCTAATCTCCCCAGGGGGCCCCTAAAAAACCGGGGCCCTTTCCTCAAGGCCCCCAATTTCCAGAGTCCCCCCAAGGGGCCCCCTTTACGGCCTCCCATTGCTGCTGTCTCCATCGCCCACCCCTCCATGTGCCACTTTCGGGGTCTTTTCCACACGGTTTTGGTTTTTCCCTTTTTTTTTAACATGGGTCGGGCAAGATTAAAGGGGGCCCCCAATTTGCTCACCCCTAATCTGCCATGGGCCCCCCTTATAAAACGGCCCCCCCATTTTGTTTCCCCCAATTCCAGAGCCCTCTCATGGCCCCTGAAAGGGCCCCCTCCCATTGCTGCGTCTCCATCGCCACACTCCCCAAAGGGGCCACATTCGGGGTCTCTTCACACTGCTTGTGTTTTTAAATTTTTTGAAAATAGGGTGCTGGCAGATTACCCCCCCTCCCATGCTGCTGCCGGGCCCCAAATCGCCAGGGGCCCCCCTATATACCGCCTCCCTTTCCGCGGGCCAAGTCCAAGCCCTCTCAGGGGTCCCTGAAGGGGCCTCCCATTGCTCCCTTTTCCTCCATCGCCACCCCTCTGCCATGTGCCAAAATTCCCAGGTCTCTTCACACTGCTTGTTGTTTTCAATTTTTTTGACATAGGGGCTGGCAGTTTAAAGGGGCCCCCATAGCTGCTGCCGGGGCCCCTATTTTACCGCCTCCTCATGCGCCCCAAGGTCCCAGTCTCTCATGCCTTGCCACATCCTTTGTGCACTCAGGTCTCTTACATGCTTGTGTTTAAATTTTTTGATGGGTTGATGGGATTGGGCTCCCCAAAGTGTTGAGGTAATTGCATGGTAACGTATATTACAATCATATGTGTCTGCAGAGTCAAGAGTTGTTCTTGGGTCATGTAAGTCTACATTGCTGTGTTTCCATCGACACATCTGTTGTGCCACTTTCTGTTCTATCTATTGGCGATGTTGTGTTGAATTTTGGTTGTATTGGTGCTGGGCAGATTACGGGCCTCCCAGTAGATGTTGCCATGGCCGCCTAATCTGCACATGGTGCCACCTTTATACCGCCATCCTCATGGTGCACAGTGCCAGAAGTCTTGTCCAGAGTCGTTGTCAATGGTCCCTGTACGGCGGCACGATTGCCTGCTGTCTCCATTGCTAAACTCTGCCATGTGCCATAATTCAGCGTCATCTTCACACTGCTGGTTTTTCAATTTTTTTGACGCGCGATAGGGTGCTGGCAGATTACCGGGCCTCCCATAGCTGCTTGCAAAGTCCCCTAATCTGCCATGGGCCCGGCCCCTATATACCGCCTCCATCATGCTGTCGTGCCCAGGTATCCAGAGTATCTCATGGGTCAGTGTAACGGATCTCCATTGCTGCTGTCAGCTCATCGCCACACTCTGCATAGTGCCACATTCAGGTCTCTTCACATTGCGTGTGTTTTCAATTTTTTTGACCATAGGTGCTATTGCTGGCAGATTACGGGCTACCGCATAGCTGCTGCCAGGCCCCTTAGTCTGTCCATGGGCCCCTATATACCGCCTCCGTCATGCTGCTGCCCCCTGAGTCCAGAGTCTCTAATGGGTGTCCCTGTACGGCCTCCCATTGCTTCAGTCTCTTCGAATCGCCACACATCTGCTGCCATAATGTGACATTCAGGTCTCTGACTCACTGCTGTTGTGTTGAATTTTTTTGACATAGGGTGTGCTGGCAGATTTGACGGTGGACTCTCTAGTGCTCAGGCTAACTGCCTTGGAGCCCTATAACGTATGATCTGCCATGTGCTGCAAGTCCAGGAGTCTCTGATGGGTCGTTTGTAGGTTCTCATGCTGCTTGAGAGCTGTTGCAGGACAATTGATGTGGAAAATTCAAACTCTTCACACTGATGTGTTTGACCGAGCCTTTACGAACAGCGAAGGGCCATCACAGAGTTTCCAGGCTCATAAGGCTGTGATAAAAGGCCCTAATGCTGCATGGGAATATGTACACATCCTCATTAGCTGCTGCAAGTACATGATACATCTGGGTCTGCTCATGGCTCATTGACACCTGCGTTCTGACATCAGTCACACTTTGAGGAAATGGCACACATTAAGGTCGCTATAATTGATTTGTTTTGAATGTTTTGACTAGGCATGATGGATGTATTACGAGGTCCAAATCGGTCCATAGGCTGCTGCCAGGCCCGTAACTGTCTGGGCACTATATAGCTCTTCATGCTGTCCCCTAAGTCCAGTGTCTTCTCATGGGTCCCTGTACGGCCTTCCCATTGTGTGTTCTTGTCGCAACTGGCTTGAGTGATGATGTCACATTGCGAAGGTCTGACTTTCAACATTGCTCAGCGGTTTTCCATTTTTTGACATAGGTGTGCCTGGCGAAGATTTACGGGCCTCCCAATAGCTGCCTCGATGCCAGGCCCAAAATCGGCCAATGGGGGCCCAGATATTACCAACCTCCTGTCAACGCTGCTGGGCAAGTCCCACAGTGTTGTACCTGGTCAGCTGTAGGACGCAATCCCATTGTGCTGTATCCACTCTGCAAACTCTGATGTGCCACAGTTCAGGTCTCATCACACTATAGTAGACCTGTGCCTTTTCGCATTTTTGGACATAGTGTGCTGGCAGATTCCAGGAGCCTCTCCATAGCTTGCCGAAGCCAGGCAACTAATCGGACATTGGGCCATATATACGCCTCTCTATTGGTCCACGCTGCATAAGTCTGAGTCTTAATGGGTCATGTACGGCTCCCACAGTGTTGACCTGGCTGTCTGTACACCTCCCAATTGCTGCCCATGTGCCCGAATGTCACTTTGAGGTCTCCTCACACTCCTGTGTTTTTTCCATTTTTGACATAGGTTGCTGGCAGATTACAGGCCTCCCATAGGTGCCGCCAGGCCCCAAATCGGACCATGGGCCCCCGTACCGCCTGGTCACGCTGCTGCTTGGTCCCACAGTGTGACCTGGGTCCCCCTGTACGGCCCGGTCCGCCATTGACTTCCACTCTGCCATCTGTGTCACTTTGAGGTTCTCCTCACAGCTCTCCTGCGGTTTTCCATTTTGACATAGGTTGCTGGCAGATTACAGGCCTTCCCATTAGGCCCACAAATCGGCCATGGGCCCCATAGGCTGCCGCCAGGCCCCCAATATGCTGCCATGGGCCCCCGTACCGCCTGGTCACGCTGCTGCTGGTCCCATCAGTGTGACCTGGGTCCCTGTACGGCCTCCACATTGCTTCCACATCTGCACTGCCATGCCTGTGCCACTTTGAGGTCTCCTCACACTCTCCTGCGGTTTTCCATTTTGTCATAGGTTGCTGGCAGATTAGCGGCTCCCATAGGTGCCACTGCCAGGCCCCATATCGGCCATGGGCCCCCGTAACCATACCCCGCTGGTCACGCTGCGCTGCTTTTGAGGTCCCACAGTGTGACCTGGGTCCCTGTACGGCCTCCCATTGCTCCCACTCCTGCCATGTGCCCACTTTGAGGTCTCCTCACACTCCTGCGGTTTTCCATTTTGTCATAGGTTGCTGGCAGATTAGCGGCCTTCCATAGGTGCCAGCCAGGCCCCATATCGGCCATGGGCCCCCGTACCGCCTGGTCACACGCTGCTTGCTGAGCCCACAGTGTGACCTGGGTCCCTGTACGGCCCTCCCATTGCTCCCACTCTGCCATGTGCCACTTTGAGGTCTCCTCACACTCCTGCGGTTTTCCATTTTGTCATAGGTTGCTGGCAGATTACAGGCCTTCCATAGGTGCCGCCAGGCCCCATATCGGCCATGGGCCCCCCCGTACCGCCTGGTCACGCTGCTGCTGAGCCCACAGTGTGACCTGGGTCCCTGTACGGCCTCCCATTGCTCCCACTCTGCCATGTGCCACTTTGAGGTCTCCTCACACTCCTGCGGTTTTCCATTTTGTCATAGGTTGCTGGCAGATTACGGCCTCCCATAGGTGCCGCCAGGCCCCATATCGGCGCATGGGCCCCCGTACCGCCTGGTCACGCTGCTGCTGAGCCCACAGTGTGACCTGGGTCCCCTGTACGGCCTCCCATTGCTCCCACTCTGCCATGTGCCACTTTGAGGTCTCCTCACACTCCTGCGGTTTTCCATTTTGTCATAGGTTGCTGGCAGATTAGCGGCCTCCCCATAGGTGCCGCCAGGCCCCCCCATCGGCCATGGGCCCCCGTACCGCCTGGTCACGCTGCTGCTGAGCCCACAGTGTGACCTGGGTCCCTGTACGGCCTCCCATTGCTCCCACTCTGCCATGTGCCACTTTGAGGTCTCCTCACACTCCTGCGGTTTTCCATTTTGTCATAGGTTGCTGGCAGATTACAGGCCTTCCATAGGGGCCGCCAGGCCCCATATCGGCCATGGGCCCCCCCGTACCGCCTGGTCACGCTGCTGCTGAGCCCACAGTGTGACCTGGGTCCCTGTACCCGCCTCCCATTGCTCCCACTCTGCCATGTGCCCACTTTGAGGTCTCCTCACACACTGCTGTTGTGTTCAATTTTTTGACATAGGGTGCTGGCAGATTACGGGCCTCCCATTGCTGCTGCCAGGCACGTAATCTGCCATGGGCCCCCGTACCGACTCCTCATGCTGTGACGTTGCAACAAGGTGGAATTCAACACTACATATGTTTAGACCCGCCTTTACGAACAGCGAAAGGCCATCACAGATTTCCTGATGTTAAAAGCGGATAAAGGTACTCCCTGTGTAACTTAGATGTCAGCCATTGTCAGCTCATGCGTGACACCTGCGCTTGCTCAGGCCCCTTTGAGGAGGCCACGCTATTCGTGAGTCGGCAGGACTATGGGATGAACGAGGTCAAATCGGCCATGGGCCCCCGTACCGCCTGGTCACGCTGATGCTGGTCCCACAGTGTGACCTGGGTCCCTGTACCGCCTCCCATTGCTCCCACATCTGCCATGGCATGTGCCACTTTGAGGTCTCCTCACACTCCTGCGGTTTTCCATTTTGTCATAGGTTGCTGGGCAGGTTACAGGCCTCCCATAGGTGCTGCCAGGCCCCAAATCTGCCATGGGCCCCCGTACCGCCTGGTCACGCTGCTGCTGGGCCCACAGTGTGACCTGGGTCCCTGTACCGCCTCCCATTGCTCCCACTCTGCCATGTGCCACTTTGAGGTCTCCTCACACTCCTGCTGGTTTCCATTTTGTCATAGGTTGCTGTATGGCCTCCCATTGCTGCTGCCTCCACCGCCACACTGTGGCTCCAAACACTGGTTTTGGCCCCGTGACTGGCCAAATGAGTGAAGTGTGCGGTGATTCTAAGATCGACGGCACTCATCTGCATGTCATACTGACTGACAGTATTATTTCTCTTCCCCAGCAGACTCCAAGGGCATTTAAATTAAAGGTACAGTGTTCTGCACTAATATTAAGTCTCTCTGAAGCCTAGAAACACCCTTTTTTAAGTTAAATTCACAGCGAATTTATTCGACTCGAATCGAATATTGTCCACGAATTCGCCGAATCAGTCGAATCGAATTTTTCAATTCTTCGCTCATCTCTAGTCATGACACTTGGGCTGTTAAAAGAGCACTTCTAAGACTGATCACATCTAGTTTGATATCTGATCCTCCATAACCTGGACAAGTTTTGAAAATGTATCACGGAGGTCGAACAGTAGATCTCCTCCACAGAAAACAAAACAAAGAATCACATGGCTGGTCTTTACACCTTAAAAACTAAGGTTAGATCACTGGAACCACAGGCAGAAGATGTAAAATCATAATTTTTATATATTTGGTATTGCACTAATGAATAAATCAATCACGGTGACATAAATACTATCAATAAATAACAATGTAAAATTAACTAATCAAATTGACATAAATTTAACCAATAAGAAAAATCAATAACTCATAAATACAATCGTGCACAATAAAGAAATAATAAACAACGTGAACCCCCCAAAAAAATATTGTGCACAAGTCCTGCTTTAAAAAAAGTGATCAAAATTCTTAATTCCAGCTTGCATAAACACCCACGTGACTGAACGCCACCTGTGACTGCAAAATGGAATCTTTCCAGATCTTTTGAAGCCTTGGTTATAGGAGGTCATCATGTGCTTTGTTAATAGACATCAAAGCCAGACCACATGGATCCTCAGTCACTCCACAGGCCATCCCGGTCAAACAGTATGTATGTAATTCATGTGAAGATAGAAATAGTGCAGATTATTCAAAAAACTTTTTTTTAAAACACCAGGAAATGCACTTACAATTGAATAAAAAACTGACGTCTTCTGGCCCCATCTGATTATGACAAAACAGGTCGGGCAGAGCCTCCCCTGTTACTGCATTGTGTACGATTAGCCGCTGAGACCGTATCTTGCTGCTGGATGTTTTTAAAGAATGCTGACCATTTTTATTCAATTGTAAGTGCATTTCCAGGTTTTAATAAATTATTTGTGAATAATAATGTGAGTAATAATCTGGAAAGCTTCCATTTTGCAGTCACGGTGGTATTCAGTCATGTGGGTGTTTACACAAGCTGGAATGAAGAATTGTGATCACTTATTTTAAAGCAGGATTGTTTTCATCTCTTTTAAGGGACCTTTGCACAATATTTTTGGAGCACTTTAATTATTAATTATTTATTGTGCATGACTGTGTATATATATATATATATATATATATATATATATAAATATTATATTATATAAATAAAATTATTTTTAATGGCTAACGTATGTACTGTACTTTTGATGAATGTATTCGATAATTTACACTTGTTATTTATTTATGGTATTTCTGTCACTGTGATTGATTTATTTAATAGCGCAACACCAGATATTTGTATGCATGTTGATGAGAGAGGATATCCTTCTTTTGTGTTTGCTGCTTTGTGTGATTTAATGCAATTTGCACAGTTTAATTTTGTAGACAATCATAATTGCCACAATAATTTATACATTATAGGCCTTCCTGAGGGCTCTAAGGAACCTGGCTCTACACTATTCACCAAGACCCTGCTTAAAGCTTTATTGCCACACTCAAAATGTTCACCCTTTTTTTACAGTGGAGCATGCTTCCAGCATACCTACTGCCAAAGGACCACCTAATGCCTCACCTTGTACCTTTTTGTTTTCAAACTCGGCGACTTTATGAATTAAGATTTGGTACTTTGGGAGTCCCATGATCAAGAAGACCTGCTGTATGAGAATACTAAATATCTAATTTTCTCCAACTACAAAGTGTAGACAAAACGCTAATAGAAATAATTTGATGTTACAAGAGCCAAACTACTATACATGCAAAGAGGGTGAAGTATAGTATGATTTTCCAGCTATGCTCAGATTACAGGATTACATCCCCCAAGAAAGCTAAAAATGGTTTGAGACTATCAGCAAGTATTAACTGCTGTCCTGATGTTATATATGCCTTTTCCGTTGTCTTTCTAATGTCTGTGCCCTCTCAATAACACTGCACGCTTTCTGTGCTATCATATTTCTGGCTCTGCGTGCTTGTGAAAACTCAGGATGCGGAGTCCCCCAACACCTGCATATACGGCTCATAATACCACCTTGCATGGTAATGATAGACTCAAGCCTCATGGGCTAAGGTGCAGCCTACATTTCCCTGCCTGCCCAGGGAGGCTGATCCCCACAAGACTTTGGGCTCTCATCAACATTCTCGAACTGAGAACCATAAGACTGATTCTTCCACACTGGACTGCCACATCTATCTTTTTCCATTCTTCAAGAACGACCTCTTTTAGAGCCTGGATTCTGAATGTAGAGTGATGCTCAACTTGTCTCTTCAGAATTCCCCATAGGTGTTTGATTGGGTTCAGATCAGGAGTCATATGTGGCCACTTAATCACTTTCACCCTGTTCTTCTTCAGAAATGCAAGAGTGACCTTAGATGTGTGTTTTGGATCATTGTCATGTTGAAAAAGTGTACGACGACCATGGGCACAGAGTAGCATCTTCTCTTTCAATATAGAGTAGTACATCTGTGAATTCATGATACCATCAATGAAATGCAGCTCCCGACACCAGCAGCACTCATGCAGCCCCACAGAAGGACAATGCCACTGTCATGTTTCCCTGTAGGCACCATGCATTTTTCTTTGTACTCCTCACCTTTACAACGCCATCAGTACCAAAAACATTTATTTTGGTCTCATCACTCCAGAGTACAGAGTCCCAGTAGTCTTCTTCTTTTTCAGCATGGGCCCTGGCAAATTTTAGGTGGGCTTTTTTGTGAATGGGCTTTAGGAAAGACTTCCTTAGCGGATGATGCTTATGCATGCCATTGTATGCTGTATTGTGCCACGGGAGACAATCACCCCAATTTGGCTTTCTACTTCTTTAGCTAACTGCAGTGAACCTGCATGACGATTTTCTTCAACCCTTCTCATCAGAAGACACTCCTGACGAGGTGTTTGCTTCCGTGGATGGCCTGGACATCTCTTTGAGATGGTTCCAGTTCCATCTTTGTTAAATTTTTCTATCACTGTTGCTACAATATTCGGACTGATAAGTAAAGCTTTGCTGATCTTCTTGTAGCCTTCACCTTTCTTGTGTAAAGAAATTATTGTCTTTCTCAGGCCTTGTGACATTTCTCTTCCAGGTGCCATTGCTGACAGCATGAAATGGGAAGGAGTTTTCTTTGTTAAGTAATGATCTGCTATAATCAACTGTCTGCTGGACACCTGTTTGATGAATGATTAGACTCACCTTTAGTTGAATTCTTGTTAATCAGGATTTTGTTGTCTAAAATTTAGCTTTGCTCCTAAGACTTTCATTTGGGTGTATTCATTTTTGCAACATGGACTTGAATTAATTTGTTAGGAAATCAATGGCCTGCATTTGTGGACGTATTCTGTAGTATAGCGCCCCATTAAAAATGTTGATTCTGAAAGGAAAGGAAAGGTTTTCAAACAAATCTGACAGTGCTCAGCATACTCATTTATGCTGAGCATTGTAAATCACCAAGGGGTACCAAAAGTCCTGCTGTCCTGAAGGAAGAAACCCTAATTCTCTACTAGGCAGAAAAATACATTCTAACTCTCTGCTACCTACATGCCAGGGGTGGAAAATTGGCAATTTGACTTTCTGACTTGCCAACACCTGAACTCTGGAGAGTGGTCCCTTCATCAAGATACCTTCCTGATTCTTGTCAGAAATAAGGTACACTAGATTAAGAAATCATGGCCTCCAGATTCAACAAAAAAAGAAACAGATTTGTAGTCAGTTCCTTGGGATTCCCTTGTTCTCATGGTGGATGTCCTCGTAAATCCATGGTCTATGTTCAAACTGGTGTATACATTCCCTCCAGTGAGGATTTTTTCCGGCAAGCGTAATAGGGGCAGAAAAGAATCCATTGATCCCTATCAACCCAAATTGGCCCAGGAAAACTTTGTGCACAGACATACACTAGCAGATGAGCCCTGGTCTCTTCTAAATAGGGCAGACCTCCTGTCACAAGGCCCTCTTTCCCATTCCAGTCTCTGGCTTTACCAGCATCACTGTTGAAACCCTTGGTCCAAAAGATAGTGGCATTTTGGATGTTGTTATTCCCACCTTAATAATGACAGAAAAACTACCTCTTGTAGGATCTGTCATTGCACCTGGAAGGTCTACTTTGGATGGTGCAAGACCAGGCATTTTATTAGCCCAGCAATATTCTATGCCTCACACACTATCCTTCTTCCAGTCTGGGCTGTAGCAGCATTCCCTCTTAGTACCCTAAGAAGACAGTTTTATGCCTTATCCATTCTATTCTAGAAACCTTTAACTATATCAAGGAGTCTAGCAGACCAATACCACTCTGAAGCTTGGAAAGCTTTGTTCTGACTCCAACTATTGTATTAGTGACTTATCCCTTGCTGAGACCTCTATGCCTGGCCTGTATAAACAGATACAATCAATGCGGACAGTCTTTTTTATCAGATAGTTGAACTCACCAAATACCTTTTTCTCATCCATGGATATTTTATTGCAATGCAGAAGGTACATCATACAACAAGATGTAGCAGATGAATTGAAAAGACAGTATTTGCAGGTCAAAACATGGTAATGTGTTCCAGGATGGAAGGAGATTACTTGTGGCCTAGAGAATAGCAGCCATATTCATCCCAAGAAGACAGAGTGAAAATGAAGAGGAAATACATCACTAGCTAGTGGTAGGGGATAGGAAAAGATGGAAGACAGAAAAAGATGGTGCCATAATCAAAATAACCATAAGTTGGCAGTATATTAACTAATTATACTAAGACAAATAAACAATGGCTAAGGAAATTAACTATATGAATTCTCAATTCATAGTAATATCAACATTGACCATAACTATGCATTGTGTTATATTGTCACAGAACAAGTATAACAGCACACTCCCCGCCGGTATTGTAAAATACCACTATAATATACCA